CTAACAGACTTTTCAGTGAGCCACAAAACAAGCTCTAAAACTTTTGAAGAACTGAGAGCATAGACTACAAACTGAGACTAGGAGGCTGTGGAATTAGTTGTCAGAAATACAAAGACCAAAAAGACCCATCCGTTTAGAAACAGACACTTGAACTGTGAGATGATGCCAGCATGTTTTTTTTCCTGGTTGATTCCCAGAAAAAGGCAATGGAAACAGGAAGGAGTTGACAGGAAAGGAGGCCAGACAATGCTGCACATTCACTCTTTAAAATGTTTAGTTCTCCACAAATGAATATATGAAGCCGCACAATCACAATGCACCTGGACAGAAAGCATGAGTGCCCCTGGAGTGCTGACCAGGCGAGGAGAAGTCTGATGTGGTCCTAGACCTACCAGATTCTACATTGCAAAGCTATAAGATGTTCTCATAAATACAACAATAGCACAAAAAAGGACCTATCAGACTTCGTGAACCAGGAACACATGGGAATGATAATAGAGGCAATTGTAACCAATAAGGGAGAGAAGCAATAAGTTATATTGGGATGACAGGTAAATGTTTGAAAAAGAAAGTGAGACAGGCCTCACCTCGAACTACCTTCCACACTGATCAAAGAGCTAGAGTAGAGGAGTGCTAGGGGGAAACCCAGACAAGCACTTTAAACAATCTTGGAAGGCAGAAGGAGATAAAAATTCAAGCCTGTTATGGTTTAGATACAGGTGTCCCCCAAAAGCTCATGTGTGAGACAATGTGAGAGAGTTTAGAGGTAAATGATTTGGTTCTGAGAGCCTTAATCCAATCAGTGTGTTAATCCCCAGTAGGAATTGATGAGTGGTGACTGTAGGCAGGCAGGGTGTGGCTGGAGGAGGTGGGTCATTGGGGGGCCTGCCCTTGGGGTATATGTTTTGTGAGCTGAGCTGCTCCTGGTGCCCTGAGCTCTTTTCCTCTGCCACATCTTGAGCCCCAAGGAATAGAGTCAGCCATCTATAGACTGAGAACTGTGAGACAGTGAGCCCCCAAATAAACTTTTTCTCTTAAAATTGTTCTTCTCAGGTCTTTTGATCTCAGCAGCTAAAAAGTTGACTAAAAAAAAGCCATTGTGGGAAATGCTTAGATTTTTTCCATAAAAGTTATATACAACCAGGTGGGTGGCACACACCTGTAGCCCCACTACCTGGGAGGCGAAGATGGGAGGATCTCTTCAGCCCAGGAGTTCAAGGCCAGCCTAGACCCCATTTCCCATTCCCCCCCCAAAAAAAACTATATATAGTCATCCCTCTGGATCCTTGGGGGATTGGTTCCAGGACTCTTGCAGATACCAAATGCCCAGATGCTCAGGTGTCTTACACCAATTGTATTGTTTGCACATTGTCTGTATAATCCTCTCATCTGCTGTGAGCCGTCTCTGTAATGCCTTAACACAGCGTAAATGCTGTGTAAATAGGTGCTGTGCCATATGTCTGTGGAATAATGATGAAAGTCTGTGTATGCTCGGTACAGACTCATTTTTTTTTCTGAATGTATTTGATCTATGGTTGGTTGAATCCATGGATGTAAACATACCCATTTATGGAGAGCAGAGTGGCACAGACCTGTAATCTCAGGTACCTGGAAGACTAAGTTCAAGGCCAGCCTCAGCAACTTAGTGACACTGTCTCAAAAAATAAAAAAGGATGGAAGCAACCCCTATTAGGTCCCCTCTTGCCTTTCGGGAGTTCTGTCTCTTCTCACTTGAATAAATCCTACTCTTTGGATGCTCAAAAAAAAAAATGGGGGGTGTGGGGAATTGGGGTTGTAGCTCAGTGGTAGAGCATTTGCTTAGCACGAGTGAGATCCTGAGTTGGAATCACAGTACTACAGGGAAAAAAAAAAAAAAGGCTGGAGTGTGGGTGCAGTCCATGGCAGAGCACTTGCCTAGTGTGTGCAAGGCTCCAGGCCCCATCCCCAGCGATGGGGGTGTAGGGGGTGGAGAGTAAGACCAGGTGCTGGTGAAGGCTGTGGGGAAAGGGAATCCTCATGCATGGCTTGTACAAATTTAAATGAAACAACGACTTAGAAAAAAGTTTGGCAGTTTCTTCAAAAGTCATAATTTATGAAGAAATATTGATTATACAAGGGTAAAATACATCTTGTGTTTTATTTTCTTATACTTGCTTTGTAATTAAATATTCTAATAAGCATAATATATATGATTAAGCATAATTTTGTAAACTACTAAGAAAATAAACCAAGTCTTATTAAATATTAATGTACCATACTGGCTGGGTGATTGGTTGGCTTATTTTTCTGGAGATTGAACCCCAGGCCTGTATATGCTAAGCAAGCGCTCTGTCACTGAGCTACACCCAAGCCTACCATGTCAGTGCCTTCAAAACAAAAGTGGCTTTATTTTTCCATCTCAAACACAACATTATATAGTGAAAATTTAATTCAACTGCACCTGGCAGCTCCACGGCTTTAAATAAACATCTACGTTTCAACCAGAACTAAAGTTAATCATAAAGTTAATATATGACCAAGCTATATTCCTAGTAGCTTATCAGAGAGAAATAAAAATATTTCTTCATACAAAAACACATACAGTGCTATTGTTGTGGCTAAGTTGCAGAGCACTTACCTAGCATGTGTGAGGCACTGGGTTCGATTCTCAGCACAACATATAAACAAATAAATGAATAAAGGTTCATCAATAACTAATAAAAAATTTAAAAATTAAAAATAAAAAGATATTGAGTCCATCTACAACTAAAAATTAAAAAAAAAAACCACACAGCAGCATTGCATAACAGTCAAAACTAGTTCAAATGTTCATCAGTTGGTGAATCCATATAATAGAATATTCAACAATTAAAAGGAATGAACTGATACACACTACAACATGAATGAACCTCAGAAACATTTTGTTCCTAAAAGAAGTCAGCTGCAAATGGTAGTATTTAGATGAACTGTCTAGAAAAAGCAAGGTTACAGAGACAGCATATCTGTTTAGGGATGGAGGTTGAAGTAAAGAGTAACTGTAATTAAGCTTCATGCTTAAATAATTTCCTTCATGGAAATTTTGGGGGTGATGGGAGTGTTCTAGAATTAGAACAGCTTACAGGTTGACCAAAATAGCTGAGTTGCACAATAGCCAAGCTATGGAAACAATCTAGATATTCCTCAAGGGATGAATGGATAAAGAAAATGTGATATACACACAATGGAATATTACTCAGCCATAAAGACGAATGAAATAATGGCATTTGCTGGTAAATGGATGAAACTAGAGAATTATCATACTAAGCGAAGTAAGCCAATCTCTCCAAACCAAAGGCTGAATGTTCTCTCTGATTTCTGGATGTTAACCCAAAACAAGGGAGGTTGAGGAGGGGAATAATAAAAATCCATTGGGCTAGACGAAGAGAAACGAAGGGAAGGGAATGGGAAAGACAGTAAAGTTCTTTGGACATAACTTTCCTGGCCTTGTATTTGAGTACACTATCAGGGTAACTCTGCAATGTGTACAGCCACAAGAGTGGGATCCCAAATAGAGTAAGTTATATTCTAGGCATAATTTGCCAAAATATATTCTACTGTCATGTACAACTACGAAAAATAGCTGAGTTGTACAATTAAAAGGGTGAAGTTTTAACAGGTCAATAATTATTCAGCCTTAAAAAAAAAATTCAGGCACAACAACATGATGAGCTCTTAAAAATGTATATATTAGAAACTATTGGGAGCAACTTTTAAAATTTTTAAAATGACATTTATAATTGCAAAAACATATGAAATCCTTTGGAATAAATGTGACCAAAAGATGTGTAAGAACTATATATTAGTTCTTACTACTCAAAACATTTTTGAAAAAAATTATTAAAACAGACCATCTATGCCTAGGTCATAGAAGAATCGATACTTCCAAGATGGCAGACTTGCCCAAATTCAATTTCTGTAATTTACAACAACAGGGATGGCCTTAGAAATCATTATGCTAAGTGAAAGAAGCCAACACAGTCCAGATCAAAATCCTCAAGAGTTTTTTGGGTATAAACTGAGAAGCTGATTCTAATGTTCATATAGAAATAGGAAAACTGGCTGTCTACCTGCAGAGAAATCAAAATTGGACCCTTCTGTCACCCTTCATAACCCACTTGAATCAAACTGTGAAAGATGATGTATTAAGAACTGTGTAATGTTTTGAACGACCAACAATTTTAAAAAAATCAAATCAAATGGATTAAAGACACAAAACTGTAAAATTACTAGAAGAAAATAACAGAAAAGCTACGGGCATTGGTCTCAGCAGTGGTCTCTAGCCCATGACCCTGGAAGCACATGCGGTAGAAGCAACTAGACAAGTTGGGTTACATCAAAGCGAAAAACTGCATGGTGAAGGGCATGGGGCTTGAAGAGACGACCTTCTGGCTGGAGAAATATGTGCAAATCATACATCAGTTAAGGGGCTTATCTCTCCAACATAACAGGAACTCCCTCTGTAACAAGACAGCCCTGTTAAAAACAGGCAAAGGCCCCAAACAGCAGATACACGAAAAAATGTTCAACATCACTAATCAGAGAAATGCAAACCAAAACTACAACGAAGACATCATCTCCCTGCTGATCGAATGGCTATTTGCAAAAAAGAAAAAAAGACAAGTGTTAGCAAAGATGCAGAGAAAAAGGAATCCTATACACTGTTGGTGGGGATGTACATTTATACAGCCTTGTTGAGAGACAGCAGAGAGGTTCCTCAACAAACCAAACAGAGTTACCATACCACCTGGCAATCCCATTTCTGGGTATGTACTAAAAGGACTAAAATCAGTGTGTCAGGAGAGAGAGATACATTGTAGCGTTATTCACAATAGCCAAAATATGGACACAGCCTAAGCAGCCATCAACAGATAAATGGAAAAAAATAATGTGCTATAAATACACAATGGAATACTAGTCAACCTTTAAGAAAAACATAATTCTATCATTTATAACAACGTGGATGGCTTTAGAAATCATTATGCTAAGTGAAAGAAGCCAAGCACAGAAAGGCAAATATTACATGATCTCATGTTCTTGTGGATTCTAGAAACTTGAACTCATAGAGGAGAAAGTAGAATGGTGGTTACCAGAGGCTGGGGATGTGGTGGATGGACAGGGAAAAGGAAAATGTGGGTCAATAGGTACAGTACCAGGAGGAATAAGTTCATGGCACAGCAAGGTAACTATAGTTAATTATCAAGTACACGTTGGGCTGGGGTGTACTCGGTAGTTGAGCATTTGCCTAGCATGTGTGAGGCCCTGGGTTCACGCTCTAGAACTGCAAAATAATAATAAAACATACTTCAAAATTGCTAAGAATGGATTTTAAATGTTCTCATCACAAAGAAATGGTAAGTATGTGAGGTGATGTATGTGTTCACCAACCTAATTTGCTCATTCCACAATTTATAAATGTATCACATTGTATCTCAGAAATATATACCATTATTGTCAGAAATAAAAGAAGCTGGGTGCAGTGACACACACCTGTAATCCCAGCAACTCAGGGAGCTGAGGCAGGGGGATGGCAAGTTCAAAGCCAGCTTCAGCAACTTAGGGAGGCCCTAAGCAACTTAGCCAGATCCTGTCTCAAAATGAAAAATATAAAAAGGGTTGGAAATGTGGCTCAGTATTTAAGTGTTCCTGGGTTGAAACCCCAGTACTATTTTTAAAAAAAAAAAAAGTAAATTGTATGTAGAAATGCAAAGAATTTAGATTAGTCTTTTTCTTTTTTGCCCTGCTGGGGTTGGAACCCTGGGCCTCATTCATGCTAGGCAAGAGCTCCACCTCTGATCTGCCTCCCCAGCCTGAAACACTTTTGTTAAAGAACAAAGTTGGAGGACTAGCACCACATGTACGTTGATAGGTTCAAAGAATGATTCTGTGGTCCACATGTGGCGATTTCATTCAGAAATATATCCTTCTGGACTCTGGACCCTGGACACAGACATGTCCCAGAATGTTCTCAACAGCAGATTTAATGGAAGCAAGCGAGGGCAGCATCTGTTGCATTATGCTGCCTCGTGAAGGAGAATGGGCACAGCTGGTAAAGCTGGGCCGAGTGGGTGGGTGAACCCCACCTGTTTCTACCTAGTTTTCTGGGACCTCACCAGAGCTTCTTACTTTGATGTTGCAAAGACGGAGCTGAGGAGTTGCGATGGAGACTTACAAGGCCTACAAGCCCCAATGATTAATATCTGCTTAAGGGGAAGTTTGATAATTCCTGGTCAAATTTGTGTGTACACTAAAGTAAAATAAATAGTGAAAAAATGCAACCTAGGAAGGACCAGGTGGAAAACCAAGCCTCATTCATCCACTATCACTTCCTTCTGCCTCGTGCTGAAGTTGGCAGGATTTTCCCCTCATTTGGGATAAACTGATATGACAGCGCCAGGACTGAGGTCAGCCACGTGGTCTCCATGGGCAGGTGGTCAGCATGCTGTGTGGACCAAGCCCCTCCCTCTGCGGCCTTCGGAGTCCTGCTTAAGCCACGAGGGGTTCAACCTGGCCGAGCCCCAAGCACCTAGGGCTTCAGCCCGGGAGAGGGTGATGGGGTCCCCTACCTGCCCGCTGTAAAACAGGTCCCATTGGCAGCACCGATGGTAGAGAACGCCACAAAAAGTGGAACGACCCAAGAGGCAGGATAGAGGACACGGTCACCAAACGTCTGGCAGGGGAAGCAAAACGAATCCTGAGGGTCTTCCATGGCCTCCAGCAGCTGCTGACCCAAAAGAGCTACCCGCCCTCCTGGAAGACCCAGGTCCCCACTCTCCTCGTTGGGCACAGCCTCCGGGACCGACTCTGCTGGAGCGGGGAGTTGGAAAACCTCATCGGGGTATCTCAGGATTGGGGGTGGTGGCAGAAGTCTCCTACCAACCACTCCCTGGCGTCAGTCCTAGTCACCCCACTATTCAGCTGCTTGCTCCCTTGACCCCTCACTCAAAATGACCTTGCTCTCTGCCCTCCTCCGCCACCCATTCTCCTGGTCATGGGTGACCTCATTGTTAGACAAAACTGCATCTCCTCCATACTCTGAACCCCATCACCTCCTTGTCTGTTTCTGACTCATTTCCTGTGGCCCACCAATACCACCTGGCCTCCAGCCTTGGACACC